ATTTATTATAAATAAATAAATAAATTTATTTAATTTATTATTTATTTATATCTACAGTAGTACCAAAGACAATATCCCATAAAGGAGAGGATACACCATAACCTTTATTATGTTGTATATAATGATGATGTATATGATTAGCACGTATTTTTTGTAAATATACAAAAAAAATACAGGAAAAAAAAAATATATTTTTTTTTTCTTTATTAATTTTTTTATTATTATTATTTATATTATTATTATTATTAATATAATTATTTATATTATTTATTTGTTTATTATGATGAATATAATAGTGTAATAAATCATACACTAAATAACCCATTAATCCTCCTGGCCATGCTGCCCATACAAACCAAGAAGGAAATAAAATAATAAAAAATAAATATACAGGGCAAGATAATATTAATAATAAGGCAGGAGGCATAACTAACCTGCAGCAGCAGCAGCAGCAGCAGCAGCAGCAGCAGCAGCAAGAGGAGGAGGAGGAGGAGCAGCAGCAGCAGCAAGAGGAGCAGCAGCAGCAGCACACACAGAAAAATAAAATATATTTATTATTATAAAAGTTCAGGTGTATAGGCAGCTCTATATACACCTCCTACTGCTGCTGCTGCTGCTATTGCTGCTGCTGCTGCTGCTGCTGTTGCTGTTGCTGCTGTTGCTGCTGCTGTTGCTGCTGTTGCTGCTGCTGTTGCTGCTGTTGTGCTACTATCTATGCTGCCATCTGTACAAAAGGAACCCTCAGAGTCTTCATCTGTAGTGCTGTCCTTTGCTGCTGCTGCTGCTGCTGCTGCTGCTGTTGCTGTTGCTGTTGTTGCTGTTGTTGCTGTTGCTGTTGTTGCTGCTGTTGCTGCAGCAGCAGCAGCAGGACAATCAGCAGATTTTACCTCCTTAGGCTGCGTATACACCCCGTGCTGCCGACGTCTAAGGCCGCATGCAGCAGAAGAATCACAGACACGCTCAGTTGCTGCTGGTCTTTCTGTTGCTGTTGCTGCTGCTGTTGCTGCAGCTGCTGCAGCAGCAGCAGCAGCAGCAGCAGCAACAGTGTCTGCTGCAGACATTGACGAAGAAGACGAGTTAACTACCTAAAAAGATAAACAAAAATACAAGCAGCAAATATAAGAAGACATAAGACTCTGTTAGGCAGCAGCAGCAGCAGCTGCTGCTGCTGCAGAAGCAGCAGCTGCGGCGGCAGCGGGAGCAGCTGCTGGAGCAGCAGCAGCTGGAGCAGCAGCAGCTGGAGCAGCAGCAACAGCAGCAGCAGCTGCTGCAGAGACGACAGGTATTAGTACTAGCTGCGTCTCTGTAGGCAGCACAATCTCTTGCTGCTAATTGAGGTGTACGTACACCGTAATAAAGAGAAATAATATAATATTAATTAAATAGCAGCAGCAGCAACAGCAGCAACAGCAGCAGCAGCAGCAGCAAGTAGCAACAGCAGCATATGTAGCCGGCGACAGCAGCACAACTACTCACTCTATATACAGGTGGTGCTGCTGATGCTGCTGCTGCTGCAGCAAAAGAGAAGAAAAAAAATTTATTTTTTATTTTTTTAATGGGATAAATAATAAGTAAATAAAAAAACAAAAATAAACAAAGAGACAAAAGGTTTAGTCAATAACAGCAGCAGCAGCAGCAGCAAGCAGCAGCAGCAGCAGCAACAGTACGCGCCGCTACTGCTGCGGCTGCACGATGACACAGTAGCAGCAGCAGCAGCAGCAGCAGCAACAGCAGCAGCAGCAGCAGCAGCAATCTTCGATCATGGCAACTAGTTCAGCAGACAAATAAATAAAAAAATACTTCAATTGTTAACATTTGCTGCAGCTAGAAGCAGCAACAGCAGCAGCAGCAGCAGGAGCAGCAGCAGCAGCTAGACACCAGCAGCAGCAGCATTTATTCTCTTTTGTTTGTTTATACATGAAAAATTTATATTTAATTATAAATTAATTCTTTTTTTATTATTTAGCTGCCTATACACCCGAGATTTGCATACAAATGCTGCTGCTGCTGCTGCTGCAGAGCAGCAGCAGCAGGAGCGGCTGTTGATGCTGCTGCTGCTCACAGGGTCACTCCCATCCCCCCTCCCCTTGCTGCAGCAGCACACCGGCTACTGCAGCAGCAGCAGCAGCAGCAGCAGCAAAATAAATTAAAATTATATTTAAATTAATAATAAATAATAAAGAAAATATATTTATATTTAATCAAACAGCAGCAGCAGTAGTGGCAGCAGTAACAGCAGCAGCAGCAGCAGCAGCAACAGCACGGATAGCAGCAAACCACCGGCGACACTCAACATTATTTTATTAATTTTATTAGTAATAATAAATAAATAAACAAATAAAATAAATAAATAAATAAAATAAATAAATAATTTATTTATTTATTTATTCATTTATTTACTTTATATTCCCTAGGGGACACAAAAGAAACGAAGGAAAGGAAGAAGACTCTTTATATCCATTGCTGCTGCTGCTGCCGCCGCTATTGTTGTTGCTGCTGC